CAACTTACAACATGTTCCGAAAATCAGGTTTTCCCTAAGAAACTGCACAAAAGTTGCTAGAAAGCAGCTCATACACGATGTGTGCAGTCATCTCTCTAAGGTTAATCACCATGCAGTCTTCAAAAGCAGCTGCCGTATCACGCTCTGCCAGATTGCAGACTTTCAGAACTTCTTAGGGACTGTAAAGTGGGCCAGCGCACGGAGAGGGATACTGGTGGCTTTGAAAGAGACTCCAGCCGCAGCTAAAGGTCCTCACTCTGAAAAAAAAAGCCCACGTTGTGATACATTTATTAATAGCGCTCATGTGCCACATATTTCATCTTCCTTTTAAGTGATGGTGCAGACAGAGACGGAGAGGAAGGCAGAGAGGGGGTCTGTCAGATTGTAGCCTCCGGTCAGACAATATTCCCTCGGGTGGAGTGGGTCCCATTCACAGCGACCTCAATAGCCCTACACTGAAGTACCTGTGAATGAGAGAGAAAAGGCCCCATCACCGAGAGGGAAGGGGGGAGTTAGCACACAATGTGGCGAGCCTCTTTCTATTTTCCTAATGATATTGATTAAAGAGCTGAAGAGAGAGAGCACGGTACATGAGGCCCACCATTGTGTGGAGATGAGAGGGCTAGGTTGGGTTGGAGAGCCACTGATATGAATGCCCACAATCCTCTGAGATCTACAATTGACCTATAGGTGAAGGACATAAAGCCTTCAATATGGCCGTCCTGTATGGAGACTCTATAGTTTGTGTCCGGTAGATTTCCAGTCCATTACATTGTGCCTTTACTGTGATATGCGGGCACAGGTTTTTAATTTCAACTCCACAGACAGGATTCACTGAAAGCAAGCCCCAGGCAGCAAACACTGAGCATACCAGCCTAAATGCAACAATTTTCCCTCACTTCAGCCAGACTGAAATCAAGAATGCAAAGGATTAGAGGAGAAAAATATACAGAGAGAGAGGAGATTTATTGTTAAAGGAATACTTCACCCACAAAATGTATTAATGACTTACTGTACCCCATGATACCTTGAATTCCTGAAGAAAACGTATTGCGTGCCTCCACGTTGAATGAAGAATTAGGAACCAATGCATTGATGTAAATGGGGGCTATGTTAAATATCAGCAAGAGACACAGCTTGTGCAGTATGATCCAAATTCTGTTTAGTGTTATGCTTCTTACTTTCCAAACACATGCATTCTGATTAAAACATTATTCATAAAAACACCTCAGTATAAACAGTATCATGCTGCAGGCGTGCCCAACATATGTTAAATGAGGGTTTTGTAAACTGATGTTTTGATATACTTTGATATAATGTGCTAACTGTGAAAAGCAAAATACAGTATAGAAAATTAAATGATAAATATAAATAAATTATCCAGTCCTTGGCCAGGAACACATAAGTGATGATGACTGTGCGTCCTATTTTTATCATTTTTATAAATAATTTCAGAAAAAAATCAAAAATCTGTAATTGAATGGAAGAAGTATTAAGGTTACAAGTTAAACTATTTTGCTGCACAGGAAAAAATATCCTCCAACAATCCACTTACTGGTTCTATTAAACCTGATTCAGTTTGTTTTAATGTAAGAGAGAACAATACATATTTGGATAAATATATTAAGCTCTCCTTGCATTTGAACATGATTATTTAAAGTCAGTCTGAACAACCTCCAACAGTCAGTCGGAAACGCTCTCTTAATACAGATGTTATCAGAGCAGCCAGAGAACGGTTCATGTATTTAACTTTGACATCACATCCCTTTCCCTAATGCTGCTCTTAACAATGCAAAGTCTCTCTCTCTCTCTCTCTCTCTTCACCACCCCCATTCAGCGACCTCACCGCCTGCCCCCTCACACTCACCCACTCTCAGATTGCACATTCAGATACACAAACACACACACACACAATCACACACGAATTGCGAGGGTTCACTTCCAGGTAAACAGAGGGAAAAGGGGATGAAAGAGGGACAGAGGTAACACGAGAAGACAAGAGGGGGACACAAAGCTCCACTGAGCGGATGACATTCACACAGTGTTTAGCAGGACAAGCCTCCACGTGTGAAGGACAGAGAGTGAGGAGGAGGAGGAGGGTGAAGAGGGATCACACCAGGGTAAAGAGCAGGTGGGACAGCCCTGAGGGGACACCTGAGCCCTGAAGAGACACCTCCTGAAGGAAGGAGTGAGCATCACCCCATGGGAGTCAGAAGAACACCCGACTGCAACCTGCTGTCGCTCCTCCTCTCTTAGCGCCCGGCTCTCATCCCCTTCTCCTCCTCCTCCTCTTCCTCCTCCTCCTCCATCCTCACTCCCTCTCTCATTTGATCCCATCCCTCACTCCCTGCGCAGGAGAGGATATCGTGCACTGAGAGAAGGTAAGGGTGATGCATGCTTGTATGTTGTTGTCCTTGCAGAGCATGTGTGAGTGAGTGTGTCATATTTCAACAGGATGTGTAAGGCAGCAACTTGTTCCTTTGGATCAGTTCTTTGTAAGGTCTCTGGAGGGTTTTTCTTTAAAGCTGGGCACTTTTCATTAGTTGCAGGATCGTTTTTTTCTTGATGTTTGAACGCAGTGCTCATCTGTTTGTTTTATTGCTGTCCCTGTCTGTTTTCTGTCTCTCTGACTACCCATAACGTCATTGGAAAGAAAAGTATGTCTGTGGAGTGAGGCAGTGTTAAAAAAGAGAAAGAGCAGACACAAAGTACGCATACAAAAAAAAGCATGATACTGTAGGAAAGTGCATGAGAGGGGAAAACGGGGAGAAGGGTTAATATATTCATGCAGCGAGGTAGAAAATCTGCCGTAAAATCCTATCAAGTTCCATGGTCATTGCATTTTTCCCCGTTATCATCTCGTCAACCCCCATCATGGACCAGAGGCCAGTTTTTTTGCCCGTAGTAGTTTGGGGGGGGGGGGACAACGGATCCTGCAGGGACCACCCCATGCCATTTAATCTGTCCCTGCCCACAGATAACAGAAGGCAGATGGTCCTGCCAGAGCTCAGGGAGATAGAAGATAGTGAGTACAATGTGCGGACACATAGCACACAGCACTCAACCTGTCCCTCTGAAACTGAGCCTGCATCAACTTCTAAATGAGGGGCCAGATGAAGTGAAAAGTAGGCAGAAAAATAAGGGCAGAGAGAGAGAGAGAGAGAGAGAGAGAGAGAGAGAGAGAGAGAAAAAGACAAACAGAGCAGGGTTGGAATATCTTTAATTAAAACCCAAACACTATCCAGAATAAATGCAGTCACTTGACAGTCTGGGATAAACATAATGGAAAGAGGAAACCCTTGAAAAGAAGAAGAAAAAAGAGCAGAGAGTGAGCGGGACCATCAAAGTCATGAGCTCCTGTGTTTAAAGGGGAGTGTGTATTTATTTATAGAGGGCGGTGGTTAAGTCCACTAAGCTCTCTCTCTCTGTAAAACCCAGCCTTTTTGCCTTATGAAAATTCAATTGGCCATAATTTGCTGAGGAGCTGCTGTATGCATATTTGATCAGCGGCTGCGTTTTGAAGAAACAAGCCCGCCAAGCTTTACTGTGTCTTCATTTTGATGGAGACTGATTGAGGGGGAGTGTGAGGTTGTGCAGCCGGCTGGTAATGTGTGACACATTAGAACCCATTCGATATGGGGGCTAAAGTAAACACCAATCAGCCTCATGTGTCTGGCTAAAACACCGAAACAAATTCATTGCAACCTTGTTGCACGGCAATAATGTTTCTTTCCCATCTGATTCCAACCTCCTCTTTTCCACTTGCACTTTCTCCTCTTTTCCTCTCTCCGTCTCCTTCCCTCTAATTACTCCGGGATCCAACATCCTCCTCTTCTTGCTCTCCATTTCCACAGCCCTTTCTTCCTCAGCCTCCCCTTCCTCACCACCCTCCCTCCCATATCAATCTGCCTCTCTCCCGCTGCATGTCTCTCAGTTAAAGCTTTATGGGTCGTCTTTCTTTGCAAGGGTAATGAGCAGGCGCCTCTGTGTGACTTTGTAGCTGTGCGCCGGTTTGTGAGTTTGGATCTCCGCGTGTCCCGGGGCCTGAAAGACTTAGATGTACCTTCTGTAGCCGCCTCCATGGTTCCACTGTGACTGTCATCTGATCTATAGGAAACAGCATTGACATAATACACCTTGTTAGAGGAAGGCGGGGAGTGTGTTGTGAAGACTGTGACTTTGAACACATGTGTTGTCTCTGGGGAGCAAGAGCAACACTGAGACCTGTAATCATCCTTTCCACTATCACTAAATCACAACCACACACCTACATACAAATCTATACACACAAAAGACAGGAGAAAGAGAAGAGGACAGGCAGAATAATCTGATACCCGCTGCTGTCAGGCGTTGCGTTTATGTATGCTGATTGGGTCTGACTGCATCAGAGCACCTCCAGGTGTTGTTTGTGTACTTCTCTCCACATCAGCATGGCGTCACTTTCCTCCTGATAAAATGGCTGCTAATAACCATGATTTGCAGAATAGACTCATCTGAACCCCCTCCGACTAAAAATAGGAATGTAGATGTAAAGGCACTGACTTCAGAGTGATATTAGAAACCCACTTCACACTTTGAAAAGTACTGCGATGTCTTACAGTGAGTGTCAAGCTGTGCTCTACACACACATCCCAAAGAAACATAGCATGGCAATCTCTATTCCACGGCATGAATAATTCTGTCTGAATAGGAACGGATGTTTCTTCATATCAATGAATCATCAGCCGCCACAGCTCTTTAGTTTCTGTGTGAATGGTACAGTAGAACTTTCACTGAGTGTGTTTAAGTGCATTGCTGTGTGTGTGTGTGTGTGTGTGTGTGTGTGTGTGTGTGTGTGTGTGTGTGTGTGTGTGTGTGTGTGTGTGTGTGTGTGTGTGTGTGTGTGTGTGTGTGTGTGTGTGTGTGTGTGTGTGTGTGTGTGTGTGTGTGTGTGCGCGTGTGTGTTGCTGATGGGCTCTGATTGATGTCCTTGACCTTTCCACCATGCGCTCTTAGAACCCCGGAGATATCCAAGACGTGGTGACGGAAGGAAAGTCAACGAGTGAAAGAGACAGACAGAAGAAGCAGCGATGGCACTCGGGTCCTTGTCTTGGTGTCTCGGTGCAGCGTTGGCACTGTTTTGTGGCTCCTCGTGGCCCCAGGTGCATTCTTCCCTGGCACCGGAGAACGAGGTGCCACTTCGCCCAACTACATGGTTCCCAGAAGGAAAGATCACATCTCTTACTCTCCCCAAAGGACGAACCCGCAGGTAGGAACAGATGGGATGGGGAAATGTATGAAGGATACCATCAGGTGGTTTAGTTGTTGATTGCCATTAGGGCCACAACTAATAATAGTTGTCAATGATGATCAATCTGTTGATTAACTTTCCAGTAATCAATTCATTGTCTGCTCAAGTAAGTCTGGACTTTTTACGGTTACAACTTCTGAAGGCAGAGGGGATGGAAATAGATTTAAGTATCTCAGCTAATTAAAAAGAATATATACACATTTTTCTTTTAAATCTTGTGGTTTCTCTTATTAGAAGAAGTACTACCTATAAGTAGCATTACCAAAGTAACTCAATCTTATTGCATTTACATTTATACACTATTCAATTACCCTTTTCTATTGAGAACATGCACAAAGATATTAGCAAATCAACTCCAATTAATACAAGTAATTATACTATATATACTTAATGCTGCATCTGGTAATGGTAGGTTTAGATTTAACTTTGTTACTGATATACTACTAGCTTGTGAATTTCCCCCTGGATCAATAAAGTCCTTTCTCATCTTATCCCATAATAATAAATCATCATTTATGTGGCGATTATCTTTTGGATTATTTATCAAAACCATAAAATATCTAGTGACTAAACGTACTAAATACAAAGTAAAAGTTGAATATTCCCATCTGTAATGTGTTGGAGTAGAAGTAGAAGTCAGCAGAAAATGGAAATACCCTATTCATTGGCACATCAAAATGTAAGTACAGCACTTGAATAAGTGTTCTTTCCTTCTCTGGCTGTAATTGAAAAATGCATAAAAAGTAAAGTCAGTAAATGTTTTTGAAACCCAACACCGCACTAAATAACTCAATAACAAAACAAAAAAAAAGTGAAAATTTCGCCAATGGAAAGCTCATGAATAAATCTTGAGGCCTGCTCATCAGATTCGCCCGTGTTTCCACTTCAATAACAAGTCACAAGCCATCCTCCGACCACCTTTTAGAGACACTGGCTGTTTCCAGCACCACTGTAGCGAAAGCGAGAGGAAGTCGAGCCCATTTGGCCTGATCCCTACACACCAGTGCCAGTGCTTGCTTTCTGAAACTGGGAGCTGAGAAATTGAGAAATGCATCTCCCTGTGTGCTGCAGTCTGTCCACCGGTGCAGTCATGCAGAACCACACGGCAAACAATGGAGAGAAAACACTGATTCTGAAATTAATCACTCTATTAAATAATCCACAGACCGCCCTTGAGAATGAAAGTGTCGCACATCTGTTTGGAAACAACCGCCATCTGCACAGAAACATGAATAATGATGTTTGTAAGGAGGGAAAACAAATATGTATTGACAAATAACCGCGCAGTTGCTTAACTAGCTGGGAAGAAATTACATGGTTTTAAATGAGACAGATTACTTTCATTCAGACGTCATTGTGGAGGTGAATAGTTGAAAATTGGTTCATGAGTTTCCAACAGGGATTGTTTGTTTTAAAATAATACCAAACCACCAGAGTGAGACTGGTAAATGTCCTCAAACTGCCATCTGAGATGCAAATCTGTAATACAGCATGCACAAACACTGTCCCTAAAACATCTGATCACAATAAGGGATGTAATAGTTTCTATGCTAAGCACGATCCCAGATAGTTACAGCACACGGAAGATATTCATCTGAAACTGTCAATGCAGCCTTATCAACTGATCCCAGGTCACCTCTCCTGATCTGCTATCAACTGACTGATCAGCATGTAGGCAAATAGAAAGACTGGGAACATCAGCCACGTTGAAAAATGTTACGCTGTCTGTAAAAAAGAACATTTTAACCAGCCCATTGTATCTGCAAATCATCCATTGAACCGAAGGAAGGCGGCACAATCGGCACTGAAAGATATATTTTCTTCTACATCCATCACCTCGCAGCTGAATGGAAACACGATGTTATCTTTTTGACATTCGCGGTGATGAATCAAACAACTTCTTCCTGTGATTTGTGGTGTTTCTCCACAGGCTATACTTCACGCTGAAGAAGAAGGCTCCGGGGATGTCGGTGACTGTCAGTCCCTGTGACCTCCCCATCGAATGGAGCCTTTCAGCACGGACCCTGAAGGACAAACCCCTCAAGAGCCTGGAGTGTGAGTGAGCAGTAAGACCCCTACCTGCGCCTTCAGACACGTTACCCTGCATCCGGCTTAGACAAGACCATCAATTAGATATTATCTGTACTATCAAACAGATGGGGATTTAGTAGAGGGCAAATACTCTAATCTTGCTTAATGCGAGTTTGTAGAAAATAGTTTACTTTTGGAACATCACATGGCATAGTGTGAAGTCTTTGCATTGCTTGTTTAACAGCTTTATTTACTGTTATGTCCCTCTGAATAAACTGATTCATATCACTGATGAGGCATTTGTATTTTGAAAATGTGACTGCCTCCAATTGTCACTGTCACAAACTCTCAGGTAGATAATATCATTTTCTACATCTTAACAGCATTGCACCCAAGTTGAATGCTATATATTCTTCTAAATGCCACAATATCTCTTATATGGAAAGAGAGAGTGAGTGTAATCACATGGTTGTCACACTCCCATACATTTTATATGAGGCTTTGGATTTGAAAATCTCTCTAAAACACTCACATCAACCAAAAAGCATCGCCTACTCCTGATCCCAATGTTGAATAAACTGTAAAGAAAAAAACGTAGCTCTTAGTCTGCAGTATATTGTCCAAACCTATAAAATAAACCAAGAAGCTCAAAACACACCATAGCGGCTGAATTACAAAATGGCTTAAAAGTTAAGTCATGGCAATAAGTGCATCAAGTAAATCAAAGTAATAGTATTTCTGACCTCAAAAAGATTTCTGGAAAAGAAAATGTGCCTCAGAGTGTTCTGTGGGTGTTTCTCCTGGCTAACTAAACAAGCTTCTCTACATGGTAAAATAATGAAGTTATAAAATGACACATGAATCATTCAGTTCCTGAGCTTGTGGGTCCCCATGCCAGCCTGAATTATTCACTTTGATTCTGTAACATTTGGTCTCATTTGAGACAGTGATGAACAGTGAAGACAAGTGGTGGCGGGTTTTTGTGGCCAGTTTTTGTTGCCAGTTGCGTCGTACACTATAGTGAAGAGTGACTGTGAAGAGGCAATTGACGTTGTGTCATTATTTGTTTTGGTTCATCGATGAGTTGTTCTGTTGTTCTTGTTCCATTCAATTTGCAGTGCGTGTGTTTGCTGCAACCCCCAGAATCCTTTGTTAAAGTGAAAAACAGTGTGTACTCCTACATATATGTACAGTTTGTATAACTGTGCTACTGCTGAGCACCTTATTCAAATGACAAAAGCACATTAAATATCACCATGATCTTTCTCCTACACGTAACCACATTATTTTGGCACCTAATTCTTATATTGAAACATGACAAAACTTACTTACTCACTCACTTACTTATGGTGCATTGTGCCTTGCAATAAATAAGAATTGTAGGGAAATCCACAAAAAAATTCAATTTAATGGCGTGATGACATTGACCATACAGAGAAGAGAGAGAGTTTCTGTAGTCAGGTATGTGTGTGTACATTACAATTGCTGCTCACTTAATAGCAATGCATCAACTTAATTCTGAACTGAGTAATACATACACAAACATCCAAGAAGTAACAATGGATTTTGCTTTTTATTGTATTTCCTCACAGGGAGCAGCAAAAAGAGTACGCCCGAGGTGTGGTGGCAAGGTCCGGGGAGTGAGGAGAAAATGTACAGCTTCACAGGCAGTGCAATTGACACCTACAAGGGTCCTTCCAAATCCCATGCCACCATCTACATCCTGAGGCTGCGCTCCAAACAGCAGAACACCAGAGCTACAGTGTACCTCCATGAAGGCCCGGGGCCCTCCGGAGCCTTCCCCCTGCTCCCAGCTGACCACAGAGTTCACACTCTGGGTGTAGGCATGACCAGTGTCACCCTCAGCTGGGCGCCCAGTGCCTCCATCACCAGCCTCCCTCAGTCACAGAAAAGCTACGATTACTGTGTCCTCGCCAACTCTCAGAAAAACTACCCCAGTGTTTGTGCTGCACGAGAGAAAATAGGGAAAAAGAACGGCCAAAAAGAAGAAAAGAAGGAGCGGAGGAGGAGAGTGACAGCATGGCCCATTTTGAAAGAGTGGTGGTGGCAGCAGTGGGACTCGTACCCAGAAGCCCAGAGTGCAGCGTCTTCCCCCACTGATGAGTATTCTGATCTCCAGTGTGTGTGTCAGGGGACAGAGAGTGTTTGCACCGTCTCTGAGCTCCTGCCGGAGACGCAGTATTACTTTGACGTGTTTGTGATCGACAGGCTGAACGGGACCAGCATGGCGTACAAGGGGACATTTGCTCGAACGCATGAGGAGGCTCGGGCTGCGATCGTCACTCTGAGAGAAGGAGAGCTGAGGTGGGTGACCTTCAGCGACAGAGGCTCCAACTCCGAGCAGTTCTTCACTTTCCGTCCACGGGGCATTCAGCAGAGTGGCCTCCTCACTTTGCAGAGCTGCAGCGGAGGTGAAAAAGTCAAGGTCACTGTGTCAAGTAAAGGTCAGGTTTTGAGCTCCCAGGCTGTCGGGGGAGATTTAGCACACATTTGGCTCCAGGGAAGTCCGTCCTATCTCATCCACTTGGAGCGAGAAGGAACTACCCCAAGCAGGATGTCTGATGCTGCTGACCCAGCTTTGGGAGGTCTGATGGCTTCAGTGAAAATGCAGACCTCCTCAGCCTACCACCGGAGAGGGGTCCCATCTCTACCCTCCACCTTGCAGATAAAGTCCTTCAACAGGTTACGTGGTTGCAACAGCGTCACCCTAGCGTGGATGGGCACAGAGGAAAGAAGCTTGTACTGTGTGTACCGCAGGAAGCTGGGCGAGCATGGAGCAGAAGCAGGGGGAGCGTCTGCTCTAACTTCGCCCTGTCTGGGACCAGAGTCCCGCTCTGACACCGAGAGGGTTCTCTGCAAGTATTTCCAGGAGCTGAATCCTCGGCGGGCCGTCACTACTGCTGTGATCGGGGGCCTGGAGCCAGGGATGGCCTATGTGTTTGATGTCTATCTAATGAGACGCTGGGGGATCCCTATCAAGTATGCCAGCAAGATGTTGAAGACCAGAAAGGAGTGCTGAGCTGCCGCCCCCTACAGGAGATTTTAAGACTGTCCCACTTTAGGGGAAAATGCATCGGCCATGGACATGCTGTAAAGACTGACCATGAGAACAAAGCCATTGGACTGTTGTGGAGAGACTGTAGCCATAACAAGGAAACATTCCCCCTGGAGGAGAAATGGTTTTATTCAAACTCCACTTGCACTATCAATGCAAGTGGATGGAAACATATGAGAAGGATCTGCACACCAGCAAAAGTTCATAACATTTACAATACAACTCTTGTGCTCTTGTCATTTTGTTTTTCATTGTTTATCATGATTATGATGTGCCAGTTGTCCAAGTGCTTATTTTGTGTCGGAGTACAAAGGACAAATGAGTTTTTTGATGACAGAAAGTCAATACAAAAACAACAACAGAGACTGTGCCAAATATGCAACAGAAACAGATGGGGCAGTAATTGGATAACATCTGAGACGGGGGTTTGCAGCGTATATCTTCAGTGCTGCATATTGTACAGGCTTATAAACACAGATGGGTGCAATCTACAGATGCTTAGTTCAAAGTCAGTGTGTATCTTGTGTTCTGCTTTCGCATGAAGCAGTGAAAAATACTTAGTGACTTGCCTCATTGTCTTTGATGTATTCTTGTGCTGCTTCAAACGCACCAATAAATACTACGGTATCTGTATGTCCTTGACTGAGTGCTGCATGTATGTAAATAAGACTTATTATAAATGTATAATTCATTTATAAATTAGATTATTTTACCAAATTGATTTCTAAAAGCTTACACTCTTACTGTAATAGATCTGGGAAACATAGTGCCTTACCAATATATGCCATTTAATTCAAAAGTTGAAGGAAAGGGACACTTTAATATTGTTTCCATCATGGTAACCCTAGTTAGCCTGCCTTGCAAGGTTATCATCTTTCTTAAAGAAACATCTTTCAAGTAATAAATAGGCTGAATGAGACGGATCAGATATTACCTCGGACATTCACACACTTTATAATAATATAATAATAATAATATAATAATATTATAATAATAATATAATAATAATAATAATAATAATAATAATAATAATAATAATAATAATAATAATAATAATAATAATAATAATAATAATACAATAATGTAGAATTATTGATACTTCAAGTACATAAAGTCAGTATGTCAGTAAATAGTCATGATAGTGTAAATATATATTCAATTTAATTTAAATTAATTAATAATCAATATTGATGTTGTCGTGTCTACTCTAGAGGCCTGTATTCATGTCAGGTTTTGTTAAACTGACATCTGAATCTGATAAATGGCAGATCATATTAATTTGTATATCTATATATTTATACAAATAAATACTATCTTCACGAAGGTAAATCATTTTTTCCCAGAAGCCTACCTTTATCTGTTGTAAAGTAATAATTCGTTTTTCTTTCATATTTGAAGGAAAATCTGTGATAATGAATCCTCGTTACATTAGTCTGACGAGTCTGATCATGGGAACCAATGAGAGGCCGTCTGTGGTCGTTACGTAAGCACGTCGCTGTGCGTACGGCTGAATGTGACAGGCCAGCGCGCCAAATTGATATGCAAACAAAGGGAAGGCAGAAGAGAATACGACTCGTTTAACTTATGAGTAGTTAAACAAAGAAATAAACTGTAAAACATCGTAGAGACCCTTTAGAGTATATACTTTACCGGATTAACGTTCTCAGACCAAGCTGTCAGGATGGGTTTGCTCGAGCGGTGCGAGGAGCTGTTCAAGTCCTCCAACCTGTACGAGGTGCTGGGCATCAACAAGGAGGCAAGCGAGAAGGAGATTCGCAGGAGCTACTACAAAGTGTCGCTGAAAGTCCACCCGGACCGGGCTCCTGAAGACCCGCTGGCCACGGAGAAATTTCAGGTTAACTCTCCTGGATGTTGGCTGTCAGACACAATGAACACATGTTAGCGTCACGAGCGAGCTAACAGCTAATTTAACTTACTTTAGCTTCAATTACTAACTCCCTTTATGTACAATAACTAGCTTGATGCCGATTATAATATATAGACTTAGTCATGCGTTTGTGCTATTTGTAGAGAAGAATGGAGGTTTTGGAGATCGTATTCCGACTGATACATTGATTAAGTGCGTTTTTGTAAGAGCTTTGGTTTACTTGTAGCTAGGTGCAAAATAGACTAGTCATGTATGCCTGTATATTAGGAAGGACCTTCCGGTTTTCCAGCTGTTTACTCTTCGGTAAAAACACCACAATGGTCCTAAATCTGATTTCAACAATAGTTACATTACTGGATAGCGAATTGGATCAAATACTAAATGTGCAGGAGAACTTTTTCAAAACGCAGTTTAAAAGCTGTATGCATGAAAAAAAACAAGTCAATTTGTTTAAATATCTGACAGATCATAATACCTTTTTAATCCAGTTAGAATTTCCTGTCTCATTAAATACATTTTTAATATCACTGGCAAAAAATGGTATAAATAATTAAGCAAGAATACAAATTGTAAAATTAAAGTCACTTCGATAGAAAAAAAGATACCCAGTAGTTGATACCCAACCAATGAATGATTATTAAGGCAAGAGTAAAAAGTTATGGTTTCTTTAAAAATAAATTCCCTCAGATCCTCAAGCAGACACTTCTAGGGACAAAGGGCCACAATGGCTAAACAATACAACCTTAGAAATTAAAAAAATGGCTTCCACTGTATTACAGATACAGCTAAATCTTTATACTGTTTTTCATCAATATATAATAGGTCTCAGATATATACAAAACATGTCTCTGAAGTGTTTGGCTGCAAACACCAAACAGATCATTGCAGCTTCTGTTTCAGCCCTGTTTCCAAAGTGCTGATTCTCTGTCTGTTGCTTTAGATGAAAATAAGGAGCCACTCCCCACGCCCCTCTGAGAGATATTTGGTTAAAAAGAACACAATAGGCGCTTTCACACCGGAGTACTTTTCCCTTTTAGTTCCGATAGTTACTGGGATTTTGCATTCACACTAGGGGTGTAACGGTTCACAGAATTCAGGGTTCGGTACCTCGGTTTGAGGGTCACGGTTCGGTACGGGTTTGGTACAACAAGAAAAAGCAAAAAAAAGTCCCAAATGTATAATTCCAGGTTTGTTTTTTATTTATTTTGAACAGTAGTGCAAGTTTCAGTTAAAAAATAAGGAACTTTAACATATTGAATAATTAACTTTATTACACAGTTAAAAACAAACCACAAACAGTACCACACACACTCAGATGGCCGTATTATCTATAATGGCTGATGTCAAACAAAAAGGTTCAATAAGCTGTAAAACTAAAAAGAATGTCTTGAAAATATTACAAAAATAAATAATAAGAAAGTGTTTCAATCACAATCAATAAAAGCCGGGGTCCTCTACTATTGCATAAGGGCGCAGCATAGCCGTTGAAAAACATATGCCAATAGCTTCCGTTATTTCTTTTGGTCTCTCGGCTTTCATGTCTATTGGCTTCTTAAAAACAGCGGGGATAAGCTGTTGAACTGCTGTTGTCTTTTGCCAGGCTCCGGTGATTGGCAAATCTGGGTGATGCCTTCTGATATGATTTAGCATGTTTGGCGTGTGTTACTATTAGCATACCGCACTGCTGTCGAACAACGCCGACACACCGTCCTCGTCCGATCCTGCACTCGCACTCAATCGTTATTGTAGTCCACAGGGAACCCGAAATGTTCCCACAAAGCTGATTTACCTTGGTTGGTGATTGGCTAATGGTTACACAAGCCAAAACATCGTTATGACATCATAAAGTGGCCAAAATCTGATCAGCTCATTTTCAGACAGGTTTTTATATAAATGGATCAGGACAAAAAGAGAGGGGGTATTTTTTCCTGAAACTTTCAGAATCTCTTTCCACAGAGGGGACACATGTTTATGTATAAAAGACATGAAAAAGTGCATTTTGCATTATAGGTCCCCTTTAACTTTGCCTTCCTGTATTGTCATATATACTAAACCTAATATAGATATGGATTTTTAAAGCTGATAATATCAATAGTTCACTTCAACCTCCCCATCCTATTTTATATTACTTGTAAAATCTATAGGGTTATGATAATAGTACAGTGTTGGGTGTATGATCAAGGCTCATCTGACTGCAGGTGTTGGGGAAGCTGTACGCCGTGCTGAGCGATACGGAGCAGAGATCTGTTTACGATGAGCAGGGGGTGGTCGATGAAGAGTCTGACGCCCTGAGTCAAGACCGCTGCTGGGAAGATTACTGGAGACTGCTCTTCCCCAAGGTACGGCATCACAGCAGGTGTTTTCTTTATTGGTATTAAAGTGACTTAATGAGTCACACACATTGCTTTGTGTTATACATGTGAAGTGAGATCTGGAGTGAGTCACGTCTATTTCAGGAGTTTTATTTTTGTTGATAAACAGAAGATGGGGATGTGTCACTGCACCTTCCATGGAACAACAAATTAAAAACCTACGTCATTGTACCCAGGGATAATGGTGGAATATTGCACACCTAATATTTTCTGCTAGTTTATTTCTAGCAGCTTTGCACATAATATAAATGTATTGCCTTGTGAAGCAACCTTTCTTATGTGTTGTTTCTCTCCATCTCCTAGATTACAGTACAGGACATCCTCGAGTTTGAGAATAAGTACAAGGGCTCTGATGAGGAGCGGAAGGATGTGATCCAGCTGTATGTGCAGCACCAGGGAAACATGGACGTCATCACAGCCTCGGCCATGTGCTGCTCTCAGGAGGATGAGCCCCGGCTCTGCGGCATCATCCAGGCGGCCATCGATAGCGAAGAAGTCCAATCATTTCCAGCATTCACGAAGGAGAGTGATAAGAAGAAGAAGGCTCGTAGGAAGAGGGTGAGAAATGTGTTGGCGGTAGAGCCACTTAATCCTCACAGCTCATATTCTATTAATGTCTACACATCTTCCGGCGCAGACTAAAAACTCATCTCTTTCGACTCCACTTCGAGCAATAAAATTACTAACAAAGCACTTATATACTAATAAAGGACTGGCTTATCTAAAGCCAGTTGAGTAGCACTTGAAATGTTTTGGCTCTATGAAACCTAATGTACTTATATGATTCTGTTTTCTTCAAGTTTGTATCTTCTTGGTCGAATGCACTTATTGTAAGTCGCTTTGGATAAAAGCGTCAGCTAATTGCAATGTAAAAACATTTTTTTTCTAGATTTGTTTGGCTAGTGTTGCAAACGGGAAGATGCTACCACATTTACACTTTTCCACTTATGACGTTAACTCAGTTTATTGCAATTGACCTTCCAGGCTAATAAGGAGCGACAGGAAGCAGAAGAAATGCAGAAAGAGATGGGCCTCGGCGATGAGGATGACAGTCTTGTGATGATGCTTCAGGTAATATTTGCATAAGCACATGTATGAAATTGTTTTTTGCGGGTTGTTTTTCTTTCTTTTAATAACCATCTTTTCATTATTTCTTTGCAGCAAAAACAGAAGTCCAGAGAGCAGAATTTCAACAGTTTCCTGTCTGACCTTGAAACAAAATACTCCAAAAAAAGTGGGCCCCAAAAAGGAAAGAAATCAAAAAAGTGAAAAGCAGACAGCTGTGGTTATTGTAGAAAGTATTAAGATAAAAAGCAGCACCCTTTTATATGAATAAGTGTCCAAGTGCATGTCTGATTGGCTGCTGTTGAGCGGTTCCCGTCTTGTCCTTTATCTGGCCTTTCTATGTTGTAATTTAAAGTAACCCTTATCAAAATGTAAATGCAACTTTAATTTCTTGTCATGTTTGTCTTTTATTGTCAAAGTCTTCATAAAACACAAATAAATTAATATTTATATACATCGTTTGTACAGATTTTTTATTTGTGTATAAAATAGAATCAAAGAAAATGCATCCAAGAAAAGTTTTGATTTTCAAGTTGTCACTCGTGTTGCATGGCTGTCCGATAAATTATTTTAATAACTAATGAAGGGGAAACTAACCTTTGTGCAGTAACCCTGACGATACCCGTCAAAGCGTCTCTTTGCTCAGGGGATGAAAATCTACTTCAGATGCACTACAGTACAGACATGATGATTGAACCCTTTAGTTATTGACATAGTTCCTTATACCTGCCTCTTGTATTCCTACATTATATTGATGTGTAGTAGGTAAAGCATGTGAGCTGCAGAGATGTTCAACCACCCTCTTCTGATTTATGATGAAACCGCTTCAATGGAGGGAAAGGCAAAAAAAAGTCAAGATGGCATTTCTTGTTTATGTATGCAAGTTCTTTCTTTTTTTGCACAAAGCGGTTGAAAATGTTGTCCTTATAAAAGATACAGTACTGAACTCTGATGTTGTATCAGAGAGAGAAAAATTGCTATTTAATTTGTATCCTCAAGAGTGCCACAGTGACGCATCCTAAAACCCGGAAGTAAGTTAGCATGTTACCACTTCCGGTTCCTTCGACAAAAACCAATGCAATTTCTCCATAGGATTTTGGAAAATAGCTCGAAAAAAGGTCTGGTTGACACAAATTGAAGAGACAGATCATGTTTTGTTCAGCCGGATAATATCCACATGTCTACCCTACTTTTATAATTTTCTAATCATAAATCTAATCGATAGATTTATGATCGATAGAATCCTATGGAGAAATTGCATTGGTTTTTGTCGAAGGAACCGGAAGGAGTTTACTTCCGGGTTTTAGGACGCGTCACTGTGGCACTCGATATCCCTGTCTGTGTGAATGTGTTATTCCCTGCATAGTCATTTACCAGTAAAACAACACACCATGGAGGATTATTAACTCAACATTCACATTTAAATAAATATATACACATTCAGATCATACATACAAATATCCACGCATACGCCTCATACTGTACAATACGATGTTACGGTGTGTTTGGCAGCCACATAAGCTGATTCCTGAAATACAAAAATAGGCCTCTTAACAAAAACTTAATCAAGCAGCATTATGTGAAATAAAAATTCTGCTACTTCTGTAAAAAAAGTTTAGTGGTCACCGAGTGTTGAATAAAGATCCATGGCTGAAGGGTCTGGAGGCGAACTACAAACCGGGTCTGCTGGCTCGGGATGAGACGCCCCCCCTGGTGTAAGACCGAGGCGGGACGGACACAGGCATCAGAGGCGCTGCGGGGTAGAGGAAGGGAAACATCTCAAGTTAAGAAAGATACTGAAGCACCGATTTAAAACATCTAAGCAGTCGCTGCAACGCCTTTCATTCATAGTTTATCTGAACTCTGGAAGGTTCCTCTGCTTTAATCTACCGACCTGGGACGGGGGCTTGCTGGTCTGGCTCCTCTTCGTCTTTGATGGGCAAGTGCCCCAAGGGGTGGTGGGAAAACGAGTCCAAGAAAGATGAGCTGCTGATGCCAAGACTGACGCCGGTCACGCCGATTCCAAGTGAGTCTGGTGGAATGAATGAATAATTGAATGCATAAGTCATGAATTGATTTAATCCAAAATACATATTTCTTACTACACAGGCACTGGCCATGTACAGTTAAAGTACAGGCAGAGCATTAAGAGTGACAAAACAGGTGGATGGAAGATCTAACTATTCATTATAAAACGGACAAGTCAAATCAAGCAATCTGCTTCTGGTTCTTAGTTGTGATATAATGAGCGTATATCACGGGGAGAATTGTAGTTACTTTTCACAAGTCATGTATCCCTCCGCGTCTGAGAAAAGCTACAACCGTTACAGCTGTTACATTACGTCCTTTACGAAACGAACTAACTAACAAAGCTTCGCGTCGGGCCGAACCACGCCCCTTAGCTGTGATATAATGACCAAATACCACGGCCTGTCGTGAGCTATTGCTTAAGTATAAGTGAAACTAGGGGATAAACATTCAAAATATGGATAAATAGTTGAAATGTTAAGCTATGGATAACAGTTGACACATTTAGCTTAAAGGGGACCTATCATGCAAAATGCACCTTTGTACGTCTTTTATACATGAATATGTGTCCCCGGTGTTCCAGGGAACTCACCAAGTGTCAGAAAACACAACCCTCTCTATTTTCCTCCATACCCAAATCTCTAAAAAAAAGGGGCTGCAACGGATCTGATAAAAACTGATCCAGATTTGAACACTGTCCTGACGTCAGGACGGTGGCGCTACGGCTATTGGGCCAACTCCACCAATCAGGAGGAGACAGCCACGGCATTGCCGTTCGAAAGCGCTGGAGACGCTGTAGTACATATGCCAGGCCTCTAGATGGTGCTGTTCTCACAGAATCAGCCCTTGCAAAAACAGATCTAAAAAATGTCAAATTGAGCAAAATGAGGCATGGCTAAAATGCATGATCTGTTTGGTATTTTGAAAAAAAAAAAGTATAAATATGCCTTATATAGGTATGGTCCTACACTATATTATTCAAATATAGCATGATAGGTCCACTTTAAAGTAGTGCATATAGTTGCAATAGGCTAAAAGCATTATAGATAAACACTTGAAGCTGATAGCTAGAATACCATTTTAACATGAACATTAGTTGTGGTGGCGGATAGTCAGATACAATGGGTTGGGAGCCACTGTAGCATACAACATTCACACATTATTTTTTACCAGGAGCATTTTCTTGTTTTTATATATATATATATTATATATATATATATATATACTATTCAAGTTACATTTCTGACCTGTGGCCACAGAAGCTCTGCCTGTCCGCCCCTGCCCGATATTGTCCAATACTGTGAAGGAACGCCGGTATGGAGTATCCGACTGGAAAAAAAATACATGGGTTAAAACTTAAAAGCACTATCTTTGATACTCAAAGCACTAAAAATGACCCCTCTTTTGACAACCAAATACAGAACATAAATGTATTAAACACCCTCCTTCATAGGACACAATAAAAAAAATGTCAATCTATAGAAAGAAACTAAATCATAGAGCATGGGCGTGTGTTTTGCTAGAAAAAGAGCCTCTCACCCTGTAAGTGTGAGTGGTGTTGGGGCGAGAGAAGACGTCCAGCAGGTGGTGACGATCCCTCGGTATTGAACTGCCAGCTTCGTCATTTATAGCACTGTGGGCGCGGCTGGCTAGGCCTTTCTGACGCTGGTCAAATAAAGGATAAATATAGAGTCTTTAAAAAGTTGGTCACATATGGTGTACTGCTTTTGGTAGATGCTACAATACGCTTGTTTTACTGGTCGATTTATTAGAACCTAATCTGGGTTTCGATTCAGCGATTTAACACATTTTTCTTTGTGAGTGTAGGTGTTTCTGTCCTCACCTGTGCATGTTTGGACTGCTGCCCTGAGTGAGAAGACTCAGGTTCTCCTGTGCTGATGGGGGGAAGAAGTGTGTTCCTGCTGAGAGGGGTAAGCAGCGGGGAGGTCAGGCGGTCGCTGGCTGTGGGTCTGTGGACCAATGACACACACTTAAAGACAATAACAATGGACAGATTGTTCTTCGCTGCATCTATGACACAAACATGTACTTCTTTGTGAAAAGGCCGTAGGAGTTGTTCAAATTCACAGCTTAGGTGTCAGTATGAATGCTAAGTTAGAACTTTACTTGTTGTGATAGTGTTGATAAATAAAGAACAGATGTGATTTTATGAATATAGATAATGTTTGTTCTTTAGTGCTGTAATGAATTATTTTGCCACAGTGCTATAACATGTTGAACTCCCCCAGTTACAGATGCTACAGAAACAGAAATATGATACAAAAAGGAATAGTTTAGTATTTTGGAAATTCACTAATTTACTTTATTGCAGAAAGTTAGATGAGAAGATGCTACTTTCATACTTGTACAATTGAGTGTACTAGTAGGGGGGAAATGTAATAAATGTGCTCACTGAGTTAACATTAGATATTTAGGTAGGGTAGTTGCTGAATTTTGCAGAAGCATCGACATTCTGTGTGAAAGGAAAAGTATGTGGCACAGTTAACACAAAAACACTTTCAGGTTCATAACAAGTTCAGCTGTGAAGTTAGCATCACACATAAAACTTCTGTCAGCCTATCTGCTTCCATCTACCTCCCTCCTATCCCATTATTCTCCTACAGTTAAAAGGGAGTCTGTTTTCAAAGTAATCTGCCTCTGCACCCCTTCAGTTACCGTAGAGGAGAAAGAGACTAAAAAGCTAGATAGGAGTTTGGGTGGGGCTGGCGGGGTTCCCATGATGCCTCTACTCACAGTCGTGTCCCGCGGATGACCTCATCCATGGATCCGGCCGCGCACGACTGACTCAGGCTGGGAACCAGCGGCAGGAGGGTTCGGGGGGGAGGGTTTCTGCGCCGGGCAGACTGTGCCGGGCGGGACAGCGAGGACGAGCTCTGCTCCAGGGCCCGGCGGAGGCGAGGTTTGCTGGAGGGGACCACGCTGGAGCCCGGTCTGTGAGGGGCCCGCTCCTCTGGCTCCCTGTGGGGGGGGAGGAGATAGATCATGCTGCCAACTCACTGTGTACTCTTTCCAAACAGGATGTTCAGAACAGGGACAAAAACATGGCTCAAGTGAGGCTATGTCCTTCTATAATGTGTATAAGACATAAATGCCACATTCAATTTCCAAATAAATATTAAAAGGTAGTATGAATTTACAAATGTGAGAAGAATGTGTCATTGATTTTAGAAATAAATGTACATTTCGGTATCATTGATTAAAAGAGTCAAATGTGTGCATACTGGTTTCTCTCCAGCACACTGAGGTTCCTCTGCTGCAGTGGGATGCTGTGGATCACGATGAGGTCATTCAGGTTGTGCTGGGTCACTGCTGCTCCTACCGCTACCCTCCCAGGCTGTGGAAACAATGTGGGGGGGAGAGGGGGTGGCAGGACAGGGATAAAAGGAAAAAGTAAAGGAATAATTTAGAGAGAGGTAAGGACCTCATATAGAAGAAAATGCAGGTCAAATACAAATTATATTTTTTTCAAGCCAGTGGCTACACGGTTAGTTTTGTAATGTTCAATACAACATATTGTCAAAGAAAAGGTTATTTATCATGCAGTGATGTCAGGAGGGCCCCATATCAGCTAACAATCAAAAATAACATTCACAACACAAAAAAAGCAATATCTAGCAAAACAAATATTCCAATATTCTCCTTGTGGAAGAAAATAAAAAACGCATGTTGCAGTTAATCAAGATAAACGGTGGTTAATCAACAGGAACTAGCACATTTAATCTAGAGATACAAATAACGTGCCACCAATCTGGCTGGAAGTGAGGGTGTTACATACAGCGGAGGGCCTTTTCTGCTTTTTGGATTTTCGTCTGGACATGTGCTTTGAGCCCCTTGACTTTGTGTTCTTAAAAAGGGAAAAAGTTGTGACCGAAGGAAGATAGTGGATATAGAAGGAACAAAGGTAGAAGAGTGGATTCATAAAGACAGGAAGAAAAAGGAAAGGTGTAAGGAAAGGGAAACATAGCGAAAAGAATCAAAGGGTACACAAAACACATTGGCAAGGTGAAGGGCAGAGAGTAAAGAGGGAAGGAGAGAAAACAGTGATACAAGTTAATGAACTGGAAGCATTGGAAGACTGCAACAGGCAGGAGTGAAAAGGATCTGAATCATTTGTGGACAGTCGAAACACGTAAAGCCTGCTAACACCTCACAGGTAGAAAAGATGAGCAAATGGTTTATATAAGACATGTCTTTTACTACAAACAGCATTTTCTTTTCATGTTATATATTACAGGAGTGAACTCAAGATAAAATGCAAACTTTGGTTTGAACACACAATGTGAGTTCCATCTTATAAACCTATGTATATTTCCTATTATCATTATTAAATGTGTTTCATTGTGGATGACATTTTAATACATTTTAATTGACCTCCTGAAAATGCAGACAGTGATGAAAGTGAAATGAATCTCCCTGCCCCGACAATCTGGAACAAACTACCCAAATCATGCACGTCTGCAGAAACTCTTACTATTTTTAAATCGAGACTGAAAACATATCTCTTTGCCGCTGCTTTTAATTGAGCTGCTCATATTCGCACTACAGTATGTCATTTAAACATGTATTGTATACCTGTTGTGTTTATTTTATTATCTTTGCTTTGTAATGCCTGTTGTAAAATGCCTTGATATAATGTGTATCTGTATTTATTCCTAAAAAGTATTTTAATTTGTTTTGTAAAGCACTTTGAATTGTCGCGTGCTGAAAAGTGCTGTATAAATAAACTTGCCTTGCCTTGCCTTGTCTAACGCCCCAGACACCCCCTGCTGCCCCCTGCTGCCTCTCACCCCCCCCACTCCCTTGTATATCACTGACCTGGTACTGCAGGCCAGCTGTGAGCGGGGGCACCCTGCTCTGACCCAGTTTGGGCAGCATCGTGGGCAGCATGGAGAGCAGCATGAAGGGATTCAGGGAGTCTGGCTGCACAGGGCTTAACCTCCCGGAAATAATTTCATCATCTGCCAATCACAAATAAAAACCACTTCCAAATACGGTAGGCAAGAACAGTTTAAGTTAACGCATGTGAAATATATTAACTCAGCCCTACTTGAAGTGCAGCATTCCCAGTGACGCTGAACCAGCTCTTTCATCCAGCCAACCAGCTCCTGCCACACATCATCGAACAGCAGGTCGAGCACGGCCTGACGGCGACACCGGTAAGGAGAGACAGGGGGTAGAGTGTGATGCCTTCGAGCTGACTCGGAAAAATCCTTCTCCCACTCGTCCTCTCTGCAGTAGAAAGATAAAGTATTATTTGAACACCTGGGATTCAGATTCATATTACTGTGTAGTAGGATAAAAGTGATTAGATTAGAATCTTTAATGATCTACTCACAAGTCCCTGCTATCAAAAGCCAGATATTCCTCCATCAGACCCTCCACCTCAATCACTCTGGGCTTATCGTGACATCTGGAGGCGCCAGGAGGCTCGTCCAGCTGTGCAGAGGACGTGACCAGCGCCGCTCTCCTGCCCTGCACATTCAACCTTTAGCCCAAGACAAGAAAACACATAGGTAAGCACCTTAATAGGGTAAGCTTACAGACAAAAGCCTACACATCCTGTATGTTCGCTATAAATAATAAATCAACTCTAATCTAGTTGACAACAGGCTGAACAGCAGAGAGAGTACACACGTGCAAGCAAGACAATACACTAAAACACACTGAATGGTGACATAAATACAGTGACACAAACTCCTTTATGTAATGGCTTTTTTAAGTGAAACTCATTGATGCATCTTAACAACTTGCAACAGCCACTAGAGATAGTCCGGCAAACATTTCTGACACATTGTTTTAGGTAATAAAGCACAGACAGTAGATCCTGACACCAAGGAGATGTTTCTAACAGGTTTCAGAGTCAGTGCAGTTACAACTTACTCTGCGCCACTCTTGTCTTTCTCCTGGGACTTCACACCGCTCTCTTTGCCGACTGATGTGCTGCTGGCGGAGCTGCCTTTCCCTGAAACAGCGTACCACTGGAAGCCCTCATCACTGGGACACATCAGCTGAGACCCCAGGATCCTGAGCGACACACAATGAATATTTCAGTTAAACAATTATGCTTTGTCTCCGCTATCGACATTCATCTCTGATCACACTACCACTGCAAAGTGAAGGGTCAAGGATAGGATACCGAAGATGTGGGAACCGTGTGGCCCACTGCTGACATTCTTCCTGCAGCCCCTGGAGTATCCCCCCCCCGCTGCCTCTCCCCTCGTACAGCTCTTTGTCGATCTCCTCAAACATCTGCTGCACCTGCCGTGACGCCGCCTTGTCGAACTCCTATGGGGACAGAAAAACAAAAAGGGAAGGAGACACAGACAGCAGAGCTAGTTAGTTATTCCTCTGTTCTCATACACTGTCTCTATGATTGACGGCTGCTTCTTTCAGTCTGTTCATCAGTTATTTGCATCACGTCGACATTCCTTCTGTTTTTGTATCTCATAGCAAGCTTCTAGGTTTAGAATGATTGGCCCCTGTGGCCCTTTGGGAGGTGTGTATGCCTTTGTGGTCAAGCAGGAATGTTCTACTGTCTCAGAAGCAGCTTGAGGACCACAAACTAAATAAATCATCAAGTCCTAGAAAAAGTTTTGTAGAACTAGAAGAGTTTAGAATGCACTGGATAATAACAAACAAATACCCAGTGGAATGCACGTGTCTTTGTTTGTATTTTATCTGCACGTTTAATTAATGATGCAGTTCCAACTTTCTACACAAGATGGAGTATTCACTTGTATGTGTGTGTATAAATGTAATCAATGGGTGATTCAGGTGCAGGTGTTTTGGGACGGAAGCAAACAGTTTTCGACCGTGTCGGCAGAAGCCGTGTTAATATGAGCTGTATGTTAAACCTGTTTGTATTCAGCGTGACTGGCGTGCATATATTGGTATCTGAATGGTAACAGAAAGGCTATATGGACAACAAAATAAATGGATCGATGGATTGAAAGATATACACTCGTATGGACATTGTTTTGTCATATGGAACACGCTTCCGAACTTAGTTCTCCGGGTTCCCATCCCTCAGTGGCTTATGTATGGATAAGGTTAAAAAGCCACTACACGCGCATTGCATATAGAAAGAAGTAGCCGACAATGAAGGCATGGACATTAGGATACAGTGAATGGTTCTACACGGTTTTAGTCATTCAAATTAGTCAATCAAAATCTGAAAATATGTGGATTGCTTTTGTATCTTTGCAATAGACGATGAAACAAGGCTAGAAGAACAAACAATGCTCTGTGTGCACGCTTGAGTATGTTTTCTGTGTGACAGTCACATTCATGCTGTCATCATCAGTGGGATCTGAGGTTCACACTTACATCATAGCCCCAGGAGAAAACAGAGCTCCTCTCTGTGGAGATGCCAGTGTCTGTGGAGCTGTGGATGGCTGACCACGACTGGTTGGAGTCTACTGAGATGACGGTGGGACAGTCAGAGTGTCCCGAGGCAGCCGACGTCTCTGAGCTGCGTATAAATGACAAGAAGGTTGTGAGGTTTATGTAAAGTTTGAGAAGTAATGTTTGTTACATTTAGGGGTTTCTGATGTATAGTTCCAACCCTTCCTCTTTCTACATCAAACCCTTCTCTGTTCCACATATGCCCTATTCATTTAACAAGTATATTCAAACACCTGGATTCTCTATGTAACATATAAAGCAGGTCTATGTTATGTGGATGCCTGAATCTTACTTGATGACATAATCAAAGGCAGGGTTTCAAAGTGGAAAATAAAGGGCAAATGTCAAAGTAATTGAATATTCTAACAGCCTGACTCATAATTTATTCTTTTAACCGCACATCTTAAGGAGGCAATGTGATATCAATTAATCCACTGCTTCTGGGTGTCTTGTTTCACATTGAGAGAGCCTTGAGAATCAGCTGTCCACTCAAGATGGTGTAAGATTACAAAATGAGTTTAAAATAAAGAGTATGTTTGTTTTCAAGCTGCTAGTAGTTTCATCTTGGCGTTACCCTGAAGTTATCATTGTTTATTTTGTGCAAAGACAAGCCCGGGTTGCCAGAAGTTACCTGTTGTGAGCGGAGACAGCTTCCTGGAGGTCATGGAGGTATCGCTGAGGCGTCTGGTTATCGTCTGCTTCCTCTGGGAGTGGGTGGTGGTCCAGGCTGCTGCGAGACAACCCGCGACTGCAAACATGACAGATTGAAACCATTATTCAAAATATTGTAATACAAAATTACATTTGTTATCACATATTGCAGAGGCCAACAGTGGTGTGTTTAATGTCACTGATGGGCTTACAGTCACCATTATAACATAGCGGCTGATTGTCTTCCAAGTGGTTGAATCCAGTCAGGAGTAAAACAAAGTAAGATGTGCAAATAAGGATGTTGTTGAGGTTTTGCATGGGTTATCCCTTTAAATACAAATCAAGTCTTGCAGACATACCTCAAGATGTAAGAATACAGATTTACATTATTGTTTTAGTTATTATTTTGTTAATAGTTCACAATTACATAATAACCCCAAAAGACATGTATGTCATTTAGACATTTCCTTGTCTTTTGGGTGGGATTTGGTTATTACAGGATTCTAAGAAATCGACATCTTCCTATACTTGTATATTTTTGAATGACACTGGTATTTATGTATGTTTATATTTCACATTCATTTTGGTGGGCTTTTGTTTGTGCTTGCAGACAATGTTTAAAGCAAACCATCAACAGAACAAGGAAGCTTGCTCCTAGTTATCTTAAAAGAATCCTGTCCAAACCAGGCGACAGACCTTGGTGGAACAGATGGACTTTCATTAACTAGATCAATAAACATATTATTTTACATTGTCATCTGATAGTTCTTCACTTTCCTCCAGTATGTAATAAAAGCACTCAGCCTCTGACAGCTGGGAAAACGTGTTTACAGAGAACTGCTACAGTACATAATCCAGCTCTAACCCTTTATTTTCCGTACTCACATCTCAAGTTTGTGGGATACAGGTCTTCTGTTGTATCGTGAAATCATCCTCCCTTGTCTCCGTTTTATAGGCTCAAGCCCTCGTCTCTCATCCTCGTCTCCACGTCCTCGCCTCGCTGGGAACAGTTTAGAGGGGGATGTGACATCTCTTCTCGACGGCAGATAAACACCCTTAGTAAAGGAAAGCTGGAAGTGGCTAAGGATGCTAACGTTGTTACTTCAGCTAATAGGAGGAGGCTACGTCTAAAAACAAGCTAGCTAACGTTACATGAACGGACGAATACAACCCCAACAAGGCACGGGCAACATTGTGTAATTCCCCAAAAGGCATTTGCAGTTAGATAAAACTTGCTACAATAAATTGGCCAATTAAAAAATAATAGGTTTACATCTTCAGTATAATGTTAGTGGAGCTAGCTATCGCCACCTCAAAGGATTTTCTTGCTAATGTTAGCACCACCAACAACAATAATACGGCTGTCATGGATACGCAGCTCCGTAAACCCGCTGCCTCATGGGAAATGGATTTCGGACTACCACTAATAGCCGTTAGGTCATTGGCACTTTCACTACAATTCCCAGCATTCATGTCGACAACGTAAATGCGTTCCTGAAATGTAACTGCTTGTCGTTGGTTTATTATGGTATGTCGACTAACTTCAGAACCTGCATTATATGTATTCTTCATGTTTTATTAATTTTTTAGGAATCGGTTTTATTGTTGTTGTACATTTTGTTTGATGTATATTAATTTTGTTTCTGTAGTACAACGACGTTTGGTCATATGTAAGGTAGGAACTATTATGTGTCACACGATTTGTTGTAGTCGAGTAGAATTTGCGGTGGGACCTAAACAGTGACAGAAGGCGTGCTAGCAACGCACGTAGAAATGACAAAAGTTTAATACTTTTTCCACATAGAAATCTATCCGGACCTCATCTACATATATCTTAATAAAAACAAGGTAAGGTTGACATACATCTTCAAGAGATTGTACTGAATATCAACAGGAATACATTGTTTAACTTGGCTGTTATTTAGCCGTTAATAATTGGTAATATTTCATGCTTACTTTTTATTGAAATCTAGATACAGTCTTTGAAAAACGAATACAATGGAAGCCCTTCAGAGAGGAGGGATTCAGGAGGATATGGTTCAGTACAAACTGTTTCTGGTCCAGCCACAAGGTTCAACTTTACAGCAGACCGAAGAGCATCTCACACAGCTAGTAGAGGAGATTTTAGCAAAGGTTGCCCCGCTTCTGATACAATACATCTGGCAGCATCAGTCATTCAACCTCAAGTATCATCCTGAGAAAGGTAACGTTTTGGTCAACATTAGAAAGGAACTGAGGCAAATAAAAGTACCTACACTAAAGACTAACATATGTTCTTTTTATTGACAGGTGGTGTCCCTGCTCACATTGGAGGTAGCACTCAGTTTGGGGACAATGTGGAGGACGAGTGGTTTATTGTTTATCTCCTGCAGCAAATCACAGAGGCCTTCCCAGATCTTGCAGCCAGGTGTGATTTTAAAAGTGGTCTTTGTTTTTAAATTTAAATAAAAAGAACCAAATCTTTCGATTGCTATATTACAGTATTTAAACCTAAATTAATTGATGTTGTTATTTTCTTGTCTTTTTTATGTTTGTGAAGAGTTGAAGACAATGATGGAGAGTTTCTTCTCATTGAAGCAGCAGATTATCTTCCGAAGTGGCTGAATCCAGACACCAGTGAAAACAGAGTGAGTCAACTAGACGTGATGGAAATACATTTATTATGTGACAAATACTGTATACATTAAGCACAAAAAGCAATACAATTGTATTTTTTACATTGGATTATAGCAGTAAACAAGCTCTTAAGCAAACAAACAATTATGATACTTATATGTTTTGTTTAGCAGGATTATAAATGAACAACCCCTGTGATTTTTGAGACTTAAATTAAGTAGCCAGAAGTAAAAGGTAAAAGCCTTCATTGTTATACTAATCTCTCTTGCAGGTGTTCCTCTATAGGGGAGGGTTGCATATTCTGCCTTCTCCCTCCAAATCCAGTCCTGTGGGGGTCTCCAGAGATAAAGTACCAACTGTGGCAGAAGCTACAACGCTGCTCACCGCACATCGAGAGGTCTGTCAGGCAAGCCCCAAGATCTGTTCAGCCCTGAGGAAGCGATTAGAGGGGTGAGAGTCTTAAAAGTTGATTTTTAATACACAAATGTGTTTCAAATTCATTGTCATTTACAGTTCGCCTAAAACTTTCCACTAAGATGCTCTGATCTAATTCTTAGTATCCATGTCTGTATGAGACGAGCCATATATGATAACATAATACAAATAATATAAGGTACATTAAAGAAGAAAATAGCAACATTAGCTCCCTGTGGTCATATTAGCTCAGATTTTATTATATGTTTCAATTATATCAGTGTTGCATACGTTTTTTCCTACACATTTGATAAAACATTTGGAGAAGCATAAGAAAAGCTTGTTAACGGCCTCATAAATATTGTATGTAGGTGGATAAAAATAACATATCAGCACGTTCTGGTAATGTATCGAAAATGATAAAGTAAACCAACCTCTACTCTTCCCTTAGGTACCCAGAGAAGATTGAAGGTAGCCTCCATCGTGTCCACTGTTTCGTACCTTCAGGTATCGCCATGGTGTTAGCGCAGCGACCAGACCTCATTGCTCCTGCAGTGTTGGCATTTTACCTCCGGGATCCAATAGATCTGCAGGCGTGTCGAAGCTTCAAGACCTTTCCTCCTGACACAAGAGTCCTCACCTCGGTAAACACACTTTATGATAGTGGCACTCGAGTCAAAAGAAAGACAAATATGTTGAAATACTGCCTCTATGTTGTGTACTATAGTGACTGTTTGAGTTTTTCATCTGTATGTTTCAGCTTTTGTGGAATACCTTAGAAAACCTTTCACCCGAAGTTTAACCTTGTACTTTACTTGTATGAATATGTATTTTCAGGTGACATTCACCCGCTGCCTGTACGCCCAGCTGCAGCAGCAACATTTCACCCCCGACCGGAGGAGCGGCTTCACCCTGACTCCTCCCTCTGACCCCCATTACAGAGCACATGAGCTCGGCATGAAACTGGTGAGCCATGACATTTGTTTCCTCTTTATTCCAAGCTGTTTTGGGATAAATAAAACTAGGAATTTGGTAGAATGCAACAAGGACTGTGTGTTCTATTTTCGAATATTTCTCATTATTTCTCCCAGGCCCATGGCTTTGAGATCCTATGCTCTAAGTGCAGGCTGCCGTCATCTGAGCCTGATGCTCCTGTCAGCTGTAACCCTCAGTGGAAAGGCTTCATGGAGAGTCTGAAAGAAAATGGCTTCTTCCGGGTAAGTCACACCGTTTTTATGTTGAGGGCAGAAAAAGAGTAGCAACTTAACCACACCTGGAGTATTAAGTTAGGCAAAAAAGCACAGATATGCAATCTACTCCGCATGTCTCTAACTGTTGAAGTTTACTTTCATTGTTGTGTAATGCAGGAAGAGATGGACGGTTCGGCTCATTACAGAGAACTGACAAGATCTGCGGAAAACTTCTTCAAACAGTCTGTCGCGTCTAAATCAAGGTAACGACTGTGGCTCTGCATCCATATTTATGAACACTGTGTGGATATGCCTGCCTGCAACACTGAATGGTATCTGTCTGAGTATACATATTGTGTGTGTGTCGTCTCAGCACTTTGTCCCCGGGTGAGGAGGTTCTCCAGCTGCTGAACACCTGCAGTCCTTTAAACCTGGAGGAGATGAAGAAACAAGAGTCACAGCTCCCCCCAGAGGACAGTGAGTGGACAATCTATCTTAACAACAAGGTCATATTGTCCTTTCAGTTTGTTTGTAAGTAGGGAGGGTGTAGCAAGAGCCAATTTAAAAATCCATACCATTTTTAGGATTATCAAAGTCATCATGGTGATTTCAAGCTTAATCTCTTTCACTTTTGTTTACATTGTGGGACAGGGCACTCTTTTAATAGCACATCAACTTGAATGTATCTTAAACTTGAGCCCTGACAGCAGAAGTCAAGTATCAAAATGTCTGAACATAGAAATATAGAGCCTTATTGGTAAGGTATGCCTGTGGAAATGTTCCTTTTTTTCTACTTTACTTGCTCACTAAATATAAAGACAGGCTTATAAAAAGTAATACATTGCAAGAAAATAGATATTCTCTCTACCACCTGGGATTGTTCTGCGTGCTGCCAGTTACCTTTTAGTTTCTGTTCTTTTGGTATGCATCCTCCGTTCTCTAGCATTTCTCCCTTTCATGTAATTCCCATCATTATTTCTGTTTGCGTCTATCGACAGGTGACAGCTGGCTGGATATCACAACTCAGGATTTAGAGCGCATGTTGGAGGAGAGGAGTGGCGGGAGAGCTGATGTTGGCATCCAAAAATCTATTTCAAGCAAACAGACACAGCATGTCGGGGGGGCAGAGGAGAGGAGAAAGGAGGCGGAGGATGACGAGGAGAAAGAGGAGGCCGGGTACAGCCTGGTCGCAGTCAGTCAGGGGATGAAGAACTTCCTCAACGCCATGTCGTCGCATGAGGGGGCTGAACTGCCCTGGTGAGGAAGAATCTGTCTGGAACACCTGATTGATTTTGACAATATTGAATAGTAATTTGGAGAAAAACACAGCCTACACATGTTGAAGTACAGCTAATCTAACCAAGGTATAAATTATAGTAGGATGTAACGCGTGCATCATTTTATTTTCAAGGTTTGTGCATTCACACTAAATATCTCAAAGCTCAATGTCCCACCAAAAGTCTTACATTACAGGATCTACATTGTTTTTATTTTGTATTACAGGAGCAGTTCAACGCAGCCTTTTAGTTTTGAGCCTGACTCCATGGCCAGTGCACTGGACAGATTACTAGGTATGTACTTCTGTAACGGTAAAAAGAATGAACAGCGACATGCCACATCTTTCTCTGACTCTTTGTAATCTTTATAGGAACCACAGAAGAGTTAGATTCAGATGATCTAGATGATGATGATGATGATGATGAGGAAGAAGACGATGATGATGAAGAAGAAGAGGAAGTCGGGTCATCTGGTCACGCACAGATGAACGGGACAGATAGTTTGGACGGTCTCAGAAAATACATGGACCAAATGGATCAGGAACTAATGGGAACTAATATAGGACAAAGCTTCAATGTGACGGTAAATCATATAAAACATATCCCCATAAGTATTTTATCCTCCTAAATAGTTATGGGTATTGTTGGAGAAACAATTACTATTGCCTTTACAGAAAGTATAGTCGGTAACATATTCCAGGTATAGCAATTTTAAAGTAACATGACTTATTTACATCCAACACGGAAAACTATAATAATGACGAGACAAATGTGTATTTCAGAATCAGAATCAGAATCAGAATAACTTTATTAGTCTCACGGAGGGGAAATGTGCGTAGTTACAGCAGGAAAAAGAGCCACAGACAGCTTAATGTTACATATGTTAAATATGTGACATGCATTTAAAAAAAGTACTAAGTTATGATATATTACAAAAAATATAATACAAAATAAAAAGTTACATAATTTAAAAGAAACACACATCCTGTAACAGTTCTTAGGATTTAGCAGCCAGGTATATATTACACAGTTATTAACGGCATCTATATATATTGCACATCTAGCACATATTGCACATAGGTGGTTGGTATTTAACAGCAGCAAATTTAAAGCAAATTTAAAGCAAATTTAAAGCAAGAACATCACAGAACAGCTTACAAGAGAATGGCACATTTTAAACAGTGAAAGCATTGAGGCCATTGTGTGAGACTTTTTAAATGTAATACGTGTATGGTAGTATATTGTCCTTTATTTAAATATAATATTTATTAACTGTATTGGTTATGTCATGGCCTGGCTCTTAGCCATAACAAACGCGTGGAAAGGACAAGAATATATATATGAAAGATGTTTATTTTAACAAAACAACGTGACCAAAGCCAAACAAAAAGGCAAGACAAAATAATCAGCGACGTGGCTGCTCTCCCAGGTCCTCTGCGGAGAGAGAGATCGAAAACTCTGGCTCAGGCCTTTCAATCCTCCGGTGCCAGCAGCCAGGTGTCCTCAATCAGTACTGACACAAACAGAGAGAGAACATTAAAGGGCCATACCCACACCTCAGGAGAGTGTCCCTAGGACCACCGGCATAACAAACCAACCCCATCCCAAACAAAAACACAAAAAAACAAACAGTAATAGAAAACAAAAAAAAATATATATATATGGCACCCTATCTTAAAGAACCATAATTGTGATATATGACCTTCATACAGCAATCCCCGTCTTCAACAACCAGCCACATCTTTAGTAACCCAGGTACCTGAGAAGCACACTTTAAAAAGATGGGCAGAGCGAGAAAGATTTAACAAGACAGTAGGAAAGTCAATATATTAACGTCACAATAGTTCCAGTCCAGCTTTTACCAATCACATACAGCCAGAAATCTTCCAACGTTCAAACGGCTGACCCGACTCCGGCTCATGCCGAGCACCTGCCCCAGGCAACAAAACCTCGACACGACCCCTACTCAGGTGGTCAAGACCTTCACACACAACCCGGTTCACATGGCAGGTCCCAGCAGAATGGGAAACAGCAGCACTCTTCAACTCAGCAACAGACAAAACATGTTCAAAACCCCTGTGCAAAGAATGGTCACAGCAATGACCCTGGAAAACCCCACTGCGAGACAGAGACAGGGAAGGCTCTGACAGAGATGGGACCCCCATGACCACGGCAGAGCCGCTGTCCAGAGACAACTCAGGAACTGATTCGGCCACAACACATGCGCTCTTGCAGTACGAAGTGACCTCTGGATCCACCTTGGAGCTCTTCACAGATACAGAACCAGCCAAACCACAAGTGACGAAAGGTACAGGAGGAGTGTCATTCCAAACTCTGCTACCGGCCAAGCCATTACCCAACACAAAATGTACCCCTATGAAAGGCAAAGCTGGACGCACCGCGACAGCTACTTCGCTCTTAACAAGGTCACAGTCAAGATAAACCCTATGAACAGGAAAGGGGTGAACCTTCAATCCTATCCCACGACTCAGAACACAGTCACCAGTGTCAGTCTCATCAGACAAAGGCAAGACAGATTTTACGACGAAGGAATCATAGGATCCGGTGTCCCTCAAGATTTTTATTGGAACTTTCACATCACCATTGACCAATGAAACAAATCCATCTCTAATGATGCCAAAACATTGGGGTTACAGGAGTGAAATGTAGGCACCTCAGAACCAAAACAGCGTTTTACCGGGGCAGTGAATGCAGCAGGCCTAACATCACTTCTCACTCTCCAGTTCCTAGCCCCTAGAACAGGACATTCTGCCTTCCAATGTCCTTCCTCATGACAATAGTTACAGTGATTCACATTTCCAAAGTCGGAGTTAAAAAAACCTGCTGGCTTTGAACGTGTCTCAGACGAAACAGCAGCAGAACCATTACCTCTCTCATCAAAACCACTGGGAAACACAGAACGCTCTCTGAAATTACTCTTATGGAGCAACACAAACTCATCGGCTGCCACAGCAGCCTCAGCAGCAGAAGTGGCCTTTCGTTCAGTGACATATGTTGCAATGCGCTCAGGAAGAACATTTCTGAACTGCTCCAAAATCATCAGGTCACATAAATTATCAAAATAAATGATATCAAGAAAGATCAACCAACGCCTAAAATGAGTGGACAAATCCCTCGCTATCTCCACGTACGTTTGGCCATGTTTTCCCTCACAGGACCTGAAACGCTGACAATAGGCCTCTGGCACTAGTTCATATGCTTTAAGAACAGCAGCTTTTATTTTAGCATAGCTAAAGCTATGTTCCAGACTCAAAGAGGAATATGCAGACTGTGCTCTTCCTGTGAGAACACACTGAAGCATCAGAGCGCAGTCTGCATCGGGCCAATCTCTAGCCTTTGCCACCCGTTCAAACAAAAGGAAAAACGTGTCAGGGTCACTCTCATTAAAGTGAGGCAACAAGCGCAGGTTATTAACATCAAAGCGATGAACAGATGCCTGTCCACTCTGCCCCTCACCAGACAACACGCCATCTCTGAGCATAGACAGACGATATCCCTGATATTGATTGCTGAGAAATGCTCAGCAATCCAGAGCAGCTGCTCTATTGAAAAAGTGCCAAGAGACTCCTGAGACGGAGCTTTAATGAATGCCTCTACGTCAGCCATATTATATTACAACGACCCCTCACCGGAACACACCACCGGACCTTTAAGCCGAGAGAAGGAAAACAAAAACAAAAAAACAAACCGGACCGACACCAAGGTTCAAGGTTCAAGGTTCTTTATTGTCAATCTGACATAGCTACAGAGTAATTATGCAGTTGAAAATCTTATGTCACAGGCTTCTCCAACAATGCAACATAATAACATAACATAATAACAATAAGAGCACCACAGCGTTTATTATACGTACAAAGTGGAACAATACTAACTTTTTGATTGGAGTTTCCCCACTAACTATTGACCATCCCACTGACTAATCTCCTCCCTAGTCTTCATGCAGTTACTTGTGGTGGGTATTTATGCACTGGAGACCGCTGGCCCAGCAAAGCGACTAGCAGGCTAGCAACACTACTGAAACCACGGCCATGCTCCCAAGCCGAAGCTTCAACCACTTTCTCTGCAACACTACACACCCAGCTCAACAATCCCAAGGGAACCGCCGCTAAAACCTAAAAGGGAAAGCTCCGCACTGCTCCACATACAACGCACCAACAAACCCACACGCGTCAACGAGAGAGAGGAAAAAAAACAAAAAACAAACAGCTGACCACGGCTAAGAACAACTGGCAAACACTCTCCCGAAATATAATACAAAACAAATCAAAGCCTCACAAAGTAATTTAATCAGTCCTCAAACAACGATCTGAAATATAAATGTCCTTCCCACATGCGGTCTAATGAGCCGAAACAAAGAAACCGGCCGAACTGCTTGTGCAAACAAACTTTACAGACCCGCACCAACTCCTAACACAAATCTTACCTATCCGTTGCTGTAGTACAGATAAAAGAAGTGGACAAGCCCCCAGCTGTCATGGCCTGGCTCTTAGCCATAACAAACGCGTGGAAAGGACAAGAATATATATATGAAAGATGTTTATTTGAACAAAACAACGTGACCAAAGCCAAACAAAAAGGCAAGACAAAATAATCAGCGACGTGGCTGCTCTCCCAGAACAGGTCCTCTGCGGGGAGAGATCGAAACTCTGGCTCAGGCCTTTCAATCCTCCGGTGCCAGCAGCCAGGTGTCCTCAATCAGTACTGACACAAACAGAGAGAGAACATTTAAGGGCCATACCCACACCACAGGAGACAGTAAAGCAGGGGTCGTCACAGTTATTACATTACGTATTTTTGGGTAATTGTAACAGTTGCCTTTTTGTGTATCCCTATTATGTACGTCTTTTCATGTGTTACTGTTTTTGTCCTTTCTGCAGAATCACAACAAGGCAGGATTGGGCAATGGCGGCCCTCATCCCTCTGCCACGGACAGTTTCCCAACACATGAAGGTATGGAAGAGACGGAGGAGGAGATCCAGCCTCTGGATGTGGATCTGAACCTGGTCGCCAACCTGCTGGAGTCCCTCAGCTGCCAGGCCGGGCTCGCCGGGCCGGCCTCCAACCTGCTGCAGAGTCTGGGGATCCACCTGCCCCCCAACTCTGACCCCTCGTAAAGGAAAGACTCAGGTATTTAAACATGGAAGAAGGCTCAGCATTCACAGTTTACCAGGCTTCCCCTAAAGCTGTTAGCTAAAACCTTTATTCACATTGATTACACATCTGTTGGCAAAGTACTCATGGAAGTCGAAGATGTCTTGTAAAGCTTTTATTGTTAACAACACACTTCTGTTTACATTTGGTATTTCTCACTGAAATGATTGTGTACACTGTAAAACTGTATACTTTAGAAATCATAAATGGGTTGGGTTAATTTCCTTTATTATGAAACATTAACAAAAACGTTTGGATTGGATTGTTTGTAGCTTACAGTTGGTATAAAATGTACACAAAAAGATCATACATGTGCACAATACATAAATAAAAAATAGACATAGACAGAAAATTAGCATAATGCAATTTTGGTCAGGCTAATACAATATTGTTATTTTGGTTTGGTCCATATTGGTGTGCAAGTCATGCCGCCATCGATTATGTATGATTGGAACATGTTTATGGCAGTGTCAAAAAGAATGCATCTAGTATTTAGTTATTTAGTAATTTTTACTGTCGTATACATAATTTAAAAAATGTTGTGTCAGCAAGTTATAATGAACCGTTTTCATGTTTACACAGGATTTATAATACATGCTGCTCTGTGTAATGTTGGAATGTGTGTATCGTTGGTGTTTTTTTTAAGCCCTTACATTTGGTTGTTAAAAATAAGAATAAATATTTTTGGTAATAAAGTCTTATTTCAGTTTATTAAATGTATACAGATTCTCTCTGGAGTTTCAACATTCTCTCTGGAGTTTCAACAAAGTCCTTATTTAGCTTCTGGTAATAAGTTAAAGAGTAAACTAGACTTGTTATCACGATCCCTTTTCATCTGACTGACCTTAGCAGTCAGATTCATTCAAGGGCAACTTCAAACAAACTTCTGGTTAAAAATTATTTCATCTAAGGATCTGAGTTAAAAAATGTTTAACACTGTTAAGTAAACTCAATATAGCATATTCAACTGTCTGTGTCCACGTTCCTTATCGTGGACCACGATAAGGAACGTGGACACTGAAAAAACTCTCCGAATCATTCAAGGACAAACATGGCAAATAAATATTTCATCATGCTATATTTTAAAAATATATTGTAGGGCCATACCTATATAAAACATGTCTGTGAAGTTTTTCTTTCAAAATACCAAACAGATCACCCATTGTAGCCATGCCTCAACTGCTCAAACCCCTCTTTTGCAGCCCTGTTAGAGAAACGCAGATTTTGGGTCCTTAGCTTGAAAAAAATAAATAAGAGGAGGCGGAGCTAATGCCTGATCAGAATTCTACCGGAGATAAAGTTAAATTCGGTTGTGATAAAACGCCATCCTGTTTAAACCACGTCAAGGATTATTTCTGAAACCGTATGGAGCTCAAATGCTTTTTCTCTTGCAGGTTTATCACAAGGGGAGTTCTTTTTTTATTTCCTGCTTTTTAAACACATGTGCTCTTCAGTACAGGTTAGCTCTGAGTGTTAGCGAGGCTTGCTAATGTAAACAAAGACGTCCAAAACACGTCAGGCATTGTTTCTGATAGCAACTTTCTGTGGGTCCGCCGCCGCTATGACGTCACAGCGGATGGACACGTCACAGCGGATGGAAATCTGTAATCACTCGTTGTACACCCGTTTTTAAAAGATTTGGGTACGGAGGAAAAGAGAGAGGGTTTTATTTTCTGACGCTGCGTGAGTTCCCCGACGCACCGGGGACACATATTTATTGCATTTTGGTCCCCTTTAAATACTGTTTTATAAATGATTTCACATATACAGTACGGTCTAAAAGTCTGTGTTCGCTATCAAGAACTTGGTGTTTATCAGCCAATTATCTTTTTTTTTTTTAAAAGACATAATATTTGAATCCACACAGTTTTTGCATCAATACAACATTAAACAAATATGCTTGTTTATATTTGCAACATCACTAAAACGTCATTTGCATTGTTATACTTATACTGCTGATTGTGATTTTTTTAATGCTGTTTGGACTTCATTTGTTTTGTTTGTACTGCTTCCTGTCCTCTACACATGCTCACTTTGCCTCAGTTGCTTCAGACTTTGGCCCGTTCTCATTTCATCAAATGTCCCTCCTCGACTCCCCTCCTCGACTCCTATCCTCGAGACTTAGTCCCGCCCACAGGAGATGCGAGCGGAGGAGCCGAGGAGGGGAGCCGAGGAGAGAGGAGGGGAAGCAGCAGGCGGTTAGAGAAATGAGAACTCCTCTCCTCTGAGCGGTCATTTTAAAGAGACGTCCATTAATGATGACAGGAGGCACAGCAGCCCTCTGTCTGATGGACAGATGTATTCATGACGACTTATATATTTACTTTTAATTCATTCACAGTGCGGTATAATGAGACAATAACAGGCTACAGATGCGGACATACACACAGACACACACACATACACACACATATGTATATATTTATATAAATATATACAATTTCAGAATCAAACAGAGCACTCTCATAAAGTAACACTATCAGAGACTGGATATATCCCCCCCCCTCTCCCCTCTCTGGTCGCTACAATGAGGGAAATAAATGACGGGCCAAAAGTTTTATTTACAAGTAAGCAGAGGACACCAAACCAACTGAGACCTGTCTGTCCGCTGCATCTACGCACACACTGTACCACACACACCTACACTACACACACGCACCTACAGCTCCTAAAGCATAATCAGGCTACAGCCGTTGTGTATTTTATTATGTGAAGCACTAAATGGTTTTAGAAAAATATCGACTTTGTTTGTAGATATCTACTAAACTAAAGCAAATAAAGAGAGTAGGCTGTTATACTGAGTGATATATATTTTACACACTGCTCTGCTTTCTGCACGGACCTCACAGCTGTTCTCACTGTAAACATCGCGTCGCGATGAAAGCAGTTAATAAAATAATATCCAGGGGATGCATGCAGAGCTGTCATTGGCTGAGATAAGTCCGGCCGTGCGTCTCGACTCTTTGAAACATCACTGTTGCCGGAAATGCATCCACGAAGGAGCCGTGGAGGACCGTGGAGGACCCATCAGTGTATCCTCGGTTATAGCTCCTCCAGAGAGCCTCCTCGACGCTCGATGCTCGGTCCTCGATGTGCATTTCGAGAAATGAGATGTCCTTCAACATGGCGCGCTAAAATTCATTTCCGGGTCACTACCGGAGGACCGAGGAGTCGAGGAGTCGAGGAGGGACATTTGATGAAATGAGAACGGGCCATTGTCTCATCCTGGCAAATATTTGACAACAAAGCTCCCCCAAGTTAATGAGCATCGAGTGCAGTATTCTAGAAATAGACATGTGTTGAGGGCATATGGAGTACATGTTAGTAAAACATATATGTAATCTAATAGAAACAACACTCTTTTGTTTACCTCATTTTGAAATGATGTAATCTTGACCCTACAACTAAGGACTGAGTGATAAAAGAAAAAAAACATGTCAATTGTGTTGGAGCCAACTGTAAATCATTAGCTTGTTGCAATATACTTCTGTATTTTATCTCAGGGGCAGAGTTGGGTGTAACGCGTTACTGTAATAATATTACTTTTGTCGGTAACGGAGTAGTGTAACGCGTTACTTTTATAATTCAGTAATCACACTACAGTTACTAACATTGCCCCGACACGCGTTACTTCGTTACTTTTATAAAATCAGTCATAATCACACTGACAGACAAGAGGGGTTTCCGCCGCAGGTTTATATGTACGTAATCTGCGCGACTTGCGCGTCCACATCTCCACGTGCAGTGCTGCATAAACATGGCAGAGTCAGCGATAACTTTCGAGGGGTGGAGGTATGCCCATTATTTTGAGTTCGTCCGAAGAATAGACAGGAATGTGACGGTGAGGTGCAAACTGTGTCCAGGCCAGAAGCTGTTATACACTGCTGCAAACACCACGTCAAACCTCAACAAACACCTGCAAAGAACACATGCTAAGGTGAAGCTAATAGCTAAGGACCGGACCCCCGAACCCAGAGTGAGGATGTTGTGAGTGCGCCGCCGCCGACTCCGAAGCAGCACAAATTAGAATTTGGAGGACCGGTAACCAAAGCAGAGATGGACAGGCTTGTTGCATCCTTCATAGTAGAGGTAATGTTGCCCATTTGCACAGTGGAATCACCATCGCATCGTTCAGAGATATACTGCGCAAAATACAGATAGCAGGAGACAGAGGACAGCCATGGTCAGAGCTATCTGGATCAGTCTTATGCGACAATGGAAACTGAACTAAAGAGAACATTTGAAACTTTAGCAGTCTGCGTGATCTGCCTGTAGGGAGGGGCGGGCCGGCCCTGCGAGTAAAGTAACGAGTAAAGTAACGAGTTACTTTATGTAGAGAGTAACGAAGTAGTGTAATATATTACTTTTTTTTAAAGTAATATGTAATATGTAATATATTACTTTTTTTTAGTAACAACCCCATCTCTGCTCAGGGGCTACTGTGAATGGAAAAAAGGTGGTGATGTATCCCGTTAAACTTCAAGTAAAATGACACTGGCCATTAATGTGGATTACATAACAATGTATGTGCGTCCCATTAATACAGTATAAGAGGCAATGGACTACATCAGCTGGAGGAACGGCTGCACCACCTGCCTCGCTGAGTGTAACAGTGCAGCAGCAAGCGGGGACACACACAGAGCCGACATACCGACCAGGAAGTTGAGCGCCATGCCCAGTAGCAGGATGGCGTGCAGATACCCGTGGAAGAGCAGGCTTTGCCAGCTGCTGTGAGTCAACACCTGCCAGGGACTGTGTGGGTGCAGCAACCACAGCAGGCCCAGCACCCAGCTCTGGTTCACCAGCTGAGTGTAGTAGATGTCAAAAATGGAGGCTTGGGCATCGGGGGAGTGGTGGCGCTCAGCCTCGGACACTTTAGCCAGCCACGTCAGAGACAGACTGTGGAGGATTAAATCCAGAGGTGCATACATGTACTCCAGCAGATCCACACTTGGCAGTCCCTGTGAGGCTTCAGAAAGAAAGAGGAAGCTGATTAAAGGTACTTGTATTTGGAATCGTTTCAACTCTGAATAACATGTTTACCTGTGATGACGAAAGAAGTCCCACCCAGGATGGGCATAAGTACAGAGATTTCCATAGATGGAGAAGATGACAGCTTCTGAGAGAAACTGAAGCCCATAGTTACCATGGGGAGCAGAGGCAGCATGAGGGGGAAGAGGCCGGCATAGGAGCTGCCTGCTTTGGCCCACATGGAGAGCACAGCATGGGTGCTGCTGCAGATAGAGGGCACCAGCACCCTCTCACCCAGGGACCTGGAGTAAGGCTTCAGAGGCACCAGACCCAGGACATGGAGGAGATTTAGGAATAAGATAGAGATCAGAACCTTGGGAAGATAATGTGAATATAAAGAGTTAAAGTTTATATAAAAAAAAAACATTAAACACTCAAATATATGGGGTGGAAGTATTTTAGTAACACTGACATGAGGCTGCTGATTTAGGATTTTTGAACAACAAACTACACCAGTTGCTACAAGTCATTTACAAAATCATTGTTGAATGCATAAACAAATTAGTATGTCTATTTTTAGCTTTTATGTTGATAGAATGCTGGAAAATTAATTGCAATCATATGAGATTAACATTTCTGTTTTGTTTCCATAATTTACCATAGCTTGTTTTATGACCAAAATAAACACACAATAACGTTTCCGTTACGGCGTCGTCGAGC